TGCACTTTTTCCAGAGGCTCAATAAGACAATGTCTCGACAGTTGGTGCGCTCCCCATGATCTCTATTCTTGAATACGGCTACTACAATCCTAGTTCTCCAGTCCATTGGTGTCTTCTACGTAGCCGTTGCAGTTCGACAGGCATGTGCTGATTACTACATGCTTTGTTAATCCAAATCTTTAAGAATTTCAGGATGGATTTCAACGATTTCCAATATATCGCAGCTTTCTAGGTTTTAACAGGATTTTTTACTTCATTTACTGAAATGTAAAATTTCGCTGCCTGACGCCCTTCAGGCGAGTTTTCTCAAGGTTACACTGCGTTAAGAAGTTGTTCAAAGTATTTTGCCCGTCGCAGAGATATGTTCTCACCCTTGATTTGTCAAAAGGGCGTTACGAATTTTAGGCTAGCATTATTTCCATCTCAGATGCAGCAGATGATCTGCCAGAACGCTTTGCTTGTCGTGTGGAAGTTCAACTCTTACACCGAACCGAACCTTACACAGTACTTAGGTTTCGATCTGGCCATTGCTTTCTTTGCTACATTGCGCACTTCTTCCCATCACGTTCGAATTGAAGGCTTCTTGCTTCAAAGTCAATTTTTCCCTGGTTAAGTTTTGATAACTAACTTCCATCGAGAGGTTCAGTTCTGACGCCAGACGGCAGACCAACCCGTTTCAAACTGCAGCGTTCAGCAGCAGCCCCAGATGAGCCACTCTTAAACAAACTCTACATCAGTCAGTAGTCATAACTGGATCTGTTCAAACCGTCGTGCGATGATGTTTGCAAATTTCGCTCTCGTGTCCACCGAAGATAATGTTTCCCATTTGATTCTCCGCTTGCTTCTGCCACCGGATCTTCATATGGTACTCCATTTCTTACTGCTTAGAGTGCCAACAACAAGGTGGTGATCGGCTGGTAGCCCTGCGCCTCTCTTAACACGAACATCCATTACTGAGCTTCTTAAGTCAGACGATACGATTATCAAATCTATCATGGACTTCT